ATCTACACGCTCCTGGAGTGACGGGAATGACCAGCGGTCAGTTGTCCGGCGTTGACCTCTTCAACGTCGTCATGAACAGCAACTGTTCTTGTCAGGTTGAATCTTCGTGTCTGGTAGTGAAAGAGAAGACATTTGATATGAAAGATGGACTGTTTTGGCCTTGTGGTCGTGCAGCTTGGAGCTGAGCTGATCAGGTAGGTTTTAGCATTGGTCATTTACGTCAGTTGAAAGTCTGTTTATTTCGTTAAGATCCTGGTTGGAATTGGTCTTCAGTAACCCATGCTTGTCGTAAAAGGCGACTAACGGGATCGGGTGATCAGACTCGCTGACTTGGTTGTCACATGTCATCGTATCCCAACTGTGTCGATGCTCATGCTGTTGATCACTGGATTGTCTGGTCCAGACTCGATTATTTACATACATATTGCTGGAATATTGCTGAGTGTGGCGTTAAACAACAAACCCACCAACCTGTGTATTCGACATATCAGTAGTTCATTTCTTTTGATACTCTACTGGAAAGATTAAAACGGATGGCTGTAAAAAAAATTTGGTCTTACCATAGTGCCGTGTCGTGAACGATAGCATGTCTTTTTATGCCATAGTCAGCAATATTCTATGAAGGCTTGAACATTGGCGGAAACATTGGTTACCGAGATTTCATTTTTAAAACACTAGACGCTGAATATCTCTGAATATATTTCATTTTGATAGTACTATATATGCCCATTTAAATTGAAAAGGAGTCCCATAAGCTGGGGCATTCAGAACCTGAACCTGAGGAAAACTAGACTTGCTTCATGGAGAGCTCTAGCATTGCAGAAAGGGAAATAATGCTGTTCAGGGACTGTGAGACAGACTAACCGTTTAATGGTGGCTGATCATGAAACAAGAAACGGTAATCAGATGTTTAATATGTTTTTGATACAGATGTAATAGTTGTATTTGGGAATTGTGTTTGCAGTTGTTCTTCGACTTTTTTAGGTGAAGCAACGTTTTGATAAAGCTTACCATGTTGGATCAAAATTCAGTTTTGAAAGTGAGTACTTTCTTTCGCCTGGTTGTATGTATATCAAACTGAAATCATTTTAAACGATGATTGTGATTCAGCGTACAACAGTGTATCGATGAATCGGTGAATCGTTATCCGAGCAGATAAATACCTAATCTTGACAGGGGAATAAATTCAGCTGAGGTTAAAACACATTTTTCTCCAGCACCTTCAACTTCAATACGTCCATGAAGATCCGGGTTAGAATGGATCTTCAGTACCCATGCTTGTTGTAAGAGGCCACTAACGGGATCAGGTGGTCAGGCTCGCTGACTTGGTTGACACATGTCATCGTATCCCAATTGCGTAGATCGATGCTCATGCTGTTGATCACTGGATTGTCTGGTCCAGACTTGATTATTTACAGACCGCCACCATATAGCTGGAATATTGCTGAGTGCGCCGTAAAACTAAACTCACTCACTTAACGTCAATCGCCAATCATTGCAACACTTCAACCTCACTTATCTCGACACCAAATAGAAATCACGACCTAGAATCAAGCCAATTCGTTCAGGGTTATTTTCTTTCAATTTTATTTAAAACTCTGCACTACCTGTATAACCTGTCTCCCTGACCCCCTCGGCAAGTACACCACCTAGGTCAGCCTGGTGTAGTATTTGGTGAATACGTTGAATGTCACCCGTTCTGAAAGCTGATCCATCAGAGATAGCGACGGGGTGAATATTGTCCCCAAACCGCTGCTTCTTCGGCAGCAGGAAGGTCTGATCAGTCTCCGTGTCTGGCATGAGCTTCAGATGTTCGTCCCGGTCACTGAGACAATTACTTTAGCGTTCAGCCTGTCTTAGCACGCCGCCCGGTAAGGGTAGATTTATACTGATAGGGTCCGGTTTGGCGTGTCATGTGTGACGATCTGTGTTTCTGATGCCTCGGTTTGTTTTGCTGGAGTGTACTTGTACGTCTTATTGTAATTGTAGGTTTTCGTTCCACGCAGAGATGCAGTCCGAGGTACTCGTATGTAATGAGATGGGTTCTTGTATAGTAATAGGTGTAAGATATTGGCTCATCTTGGGCCTCCCTATTCACATTGCACACGAATGGATACAAAATACTGTTCCTTCTCGGGCTTTCCTATTCACATTGCCCATAAAGGACCTTAATATATTGTCCCGTCTTGTGTCTTCCCTATTCACAATTCACAATAATGACCCCATGATATTGTCCCGTCTTGTGTCCTTAAGATATTGCCCCTTCTTAAGCTCTCCCTGTTCACATTGTGTAGTAATGAATGCAAGTTATTGCCCTCTCATAGTTTTCCCTATTCACATTCCAACCGAATGCAATATATTCCACCCACATAATCCTCCCTATTCACATTGGAAATTTTAACTCAGGGGCCTAGCAATTAATATTGGGGCATCCAGCAAGTCCATGGAACTACTTGTTTTAATCTTGCCTTGAGAGATGTTGGCACGAGGCTTCTGCTGTCATAGTTTGACTGTTCCAGAATCAATTATTTACATTACGCCGCAGTGCAGCTGACGTCTTGCTGACTGTGGCCTAAAATACCAATCACTTATGTCAAATGGTTGAGTCGATTAACCAAATCTCGTAGACCACATGATCAACCTCCATCCACAATATCCATCCCTAACCACATGATCCACCTTTACCCTCATGATCCACCTCTACCCTCATGCACCACCTCTACCCTCATGCTCCACCTCTACCCTCATGCTCCACCTCTACCTCTTGATCCACCTCTACCCTCATGATCCACCTCTATCCTCATGGTCCACCCTTAATCACATGATCCAACTCTACCCCTTTGGTCCAACTCTACCCTCATGCTCCAACCTCTACCCTCATGATCCACCTCTACCTCATGATCCACCTCTACCATCATGCTCATCTCTAACTCATAATCCAACTCTACCCCCTTGATCCACCTCTACCCCCTTGATCCAACTCTACCCCCATGATCCAACTCTACCCCATGATCCACCTCTACCCTTATGATCCACTCTACCCCTTGATCGACCTCTACCCTCATGCTCCACCTCTACCTCATGATCCACCTCTACCTCATGATCCACCACTACCACATGATCCACCACTACCCACATGATCCAACTCTACCCTCATGCTCACCTCTACCTCATAATCCAACTCTACCCCATGATCCAACGATACCCCTTTATCCACCTCTACCCTTATGATCCACTCTACCCCTTGATCCACCTCTACCTCATGATCCACTCTACCCTTAATCCACTTCTACCCTCATGATCCAACTCTACCCCTTGATCCACCCCTTGATCCAACTCTACCCCCATGATCCATCTCGTATCTCATGATTCACCTCTACCCTTGATCCACCTCTACTGTCATGATCCAACTCTACCCTTGATCCAACTCTACCCCTTGATCCACCTCTACTGTCATGATCAAACTCTACCCCTTGATCAAACTGTACCCTTGATCCGCCTCTACGCTCATGATCACCCTAATTACATGATCCACCTCTACCCTCATGATCCACCTTAAGATATGGTTCGAATGGTGGTTGATACATAGGGGTTGAAGTATGGTCCCAGTGGTGGTTATCATGTAAGGGCTGAAGTGTGGCTCCCCCTGAGGTGGCTATATAGGGGTTGATGTTATGTCCCAATGGTGGTTGGCACATTACTTATGGCTAATGTGTGGTCGCAATGGTGGTTGACTACAGTTGAAACGTAGTTCCAAAGACTTTTTATCTACTCCATCCCATGATCCACCTCTACCCTCATGATCCACCTCTACCCACACGATTCACCTCTACCCTCATGATCCAACTCTACCCTCATAATCCACCTAAACTTCTGGATCCACCTCTACCCACATGATTCACCTCTACCCTCATAATCCACCTTTACCCACAAGATTCACCTCTACCCTCATAATCCACCTCTACCCTCATGATTCACCTCTACCCATATGATTCACCTCTACCCTCATGATCCATCTCTACCCTCATGATCCAACTCTATCCTCATGATCCACCTCTACCCACATGATCCACCACTACCCTCATGACCCACCTCTACCCTCATGATTCACCTCTACTCTCATGATTCACCTCTACCCACATGATCCACCTCTATCCTCATGATCCAACTCTACCCTCATGATCCACCTCTACCCTCATGATTCACCTCTACCACATGATTCACCTTTACCCACATGATCTACCCCTACCACATGATTCACCTCTACCACATGATCCACCTCTACCCACATGACTCACCTCTACCCTCATGATTCACCTCAACCACATGACCCACCTCTACCCATATGATTCACCATTGCCCCATGATCCATCTTTACCCAATGATCCACCTCTACCTCCTGATCCACCTCTACCTCCTGATCCACCTCTACCTCATGATCCATCACTACCCAATGATCCACCTCTACCTCATGATCCACCTCTACCTCCATGATCCACCCTAATCACATTATTCACCTTAAACTTCACGATTCACCTCTATCCACATGCTCCACCACTAATCACATGATCCACCTCTACCTACATGATCCATCCTATTCACATGATCCACCTCTACCCACATGATTCACCTCTATCCTCAGGATCCACCCTTAACCGCATAATTCACCTCCACAGTCATGATGCTCTGCCTCTACCCCGTGGCCCCAATGGTGGTTGGCACATAATGGCTGATATGTGGTCCCAATGGTGGTTGATTATAGGAGTTGAAACGTAGTTCCAAAACATTTTCATATGGAGATTAAAATATGCTTCTAAAGGTGGTTATTATATTTAGGCTAACGTGTGGTTTCAAGAAAGGTTCACGTGTGGTTAAAATATTGGAAGTAGAGGTTTAATAGGTTCAGAAAAACGGTTGGTATGTAGAAGTTCAACTGATTCATAAATGGTTTGGCTATAAGTTAAAGTGTCATGTAGTGTGGTGTACATTAATAATGCATGTTTATAGTCATTTTATGAGGTGCATTTTATTTCCCTCAATACAGACTATACATAAATATACATACAAGTACAGTATTACAATATGTTACCATTGCTACAGACAACATGTCGATATTGTAAATGACATTGTTAATGACATTGACAGTGACGCGTTTTGGCAAGAAGACGAAGCAAAGGAGGTGCCATCTATAATGATTCCTGGTGTGTATTTCATCTTATTGGAGTGTTAGAACTGTTAGATAATACGATTTCCTTGGACGTTTCAAGTCTGCCAGGTTCAGAACTGTTATTTCACAAACGTGCATGTACATTTCACTGTGAAACTGACACGGCGTCGTGTTTCCGGGCTGCTAGGACACATGCTGCAACAAATGATGTATATTTCACGACCTGCGTGTACATTTCATTATGAAATCGACACAAACGTCTTCCGTATAAGTGTCTGGACACACCATGTCCTGATGAGGCGTGTACATTTCATTCTGAAATGTTTCTGAACAGCAAATGAATATGATCTGTCTCTGAGATTCTATTGTCTATGTCTACAGTGAATGACACATTCCTCACATGAAAAGTAAGCACACATTTCAGCTTAAAGTGACTAGATATATACCGAGATCACGGAATGACGAACGTAAGACCCCCCATCAGTTTAAAGCGCTCGTTTGAACTGACGAAGACTTGGAGCCATTGTTTTTTTGTAGACCTGTTAACATTTTTTCAATTCGCCTGATTTCACATCCTTGCCCGGAGCTCTCGGCAGGGGACATTCGGCGAACCGGAAGTTCTGTTTGTCGTCTGCTGTGGTTTATAAGATCACGAGACCTAGGTCGGTGCTGCTCATGCGCAGGTGAGTCAGACAGTTCTCTAGGGGACACACACTGTCGCGATGGAGATGTTCTTGATGACGGTATTACGTAAGGAGTGAAACGCGTCCCTCCTGACCTTGAAAACAAGAATTGTCCGAAATTTGGGGGACAGCCTGTAAGTCCATCCCTCTGCATGGCTAGCGCACCGTAGCCATGTTGGAAGAAGTGGGGATTCAACAAGGCAAGCTGACTGCTGAAGAGGGAAGTGGCCGCAGGGTTCATAGCTGAGTGGAGTTGCGCTGTGGCCAAATGACCAAGGTCCATTTGACCATTGGCGGTTAAATACTGCATTGGTAGATGACCACTACTCATTAATGAGGTAGAACTTGGGCTAGACGAGAGCATTGCACTAACAGGAAAGGACAGTGTTGGAGCTGTGGTGGGAGAGGTGCCTTCCTTCGACCCAGAGGACGTTGAGTGGGGGGAGACACTTTGACAAGATGTCGAATCGCTGTCGAACTTTCGATCGTTACAACTGCGGCCGAGATCATCGCACTTCCGGCTAAGACTGTCCAACTTCCTGTCGTGATCGTCCGACTTCCGGTCAAGGTCATGCTTCCGGATGTGCTCAACATACTTCTGATCGTGCTCAGACGAGCTGCTTTCACTTGTGTCTTTTTCAATTTGGGTCTTACACAGCTTATCACATTCAAACACGTCTCTCTTTGTCTCCCGGCTGCACACGGTACCGCTGATGTTCGCGAATCTGCTTCCGAGGTCGTCACTGCTGGAGTGAAGGTCAAGGTCATCATCGCTCGGGATATTTTCTTCTTGATCGTTATCAAGCCGTTTCCCTCTTTGCCGATAAATCTGAAGAAGGGAAACATGAAAAACTGATAGGAATATTTTTTTCACATTTTCTAAAATATATACATGTAAATACATAATCTATAATGAGTTACCTCACTCGTACGGAGGAGGGCGTCAGTCTTTCCCATAACACTGATTGCACTTAAGATAATTTCCAAAAAAGGAATATTGATAAAACATCAATATGTGCGGGTGCTCCGTTTATATTATTTTAAACAATTAGTGTGTTATTTAGATTTCAGTTTTATCTAATTTCAAACTTTAAAAAAATCACATGCAGACAAACAAGTTTTATACCAGTGAATACGCAGTGAGTACTTGCTGGGGCTGCTGGTTATGTACACATGTGTCTATGACCGATGTAATATAACATCAATATGCAAGTCAGTGAATTGCCTGGCGAGATATTGTCTGAGCACTGTGGCCTCTCAACAAGTGCAAGGCTACGTGAATATTGTCCGGAAAATATAAACTTAGACTGAAACCTAATTTCATATTAAGGGTATTTTGTTAATACTAATTAAAATATAGAGTAACTTTCAATATGGTTATCCGTAGATATGTCAACAGGTTATCAATATGGGTACCATTTATTAAGCAAAATTTATATATAAGTACCCTTAGATAACCTGGTATGTTTTACATGTGAGTACCGTATAAGTACCCTTAGATAACCCGGTATGTTTTACATGTGAGTACCGTATAAGTACCCTTAGATAACCCGGTATGTTTTACATGTGAGTACCGTATAAGTACCCTTAGATAACCCGGTATGTTTTACATGTGAGTACCGTATAAGTACCCTTAGATAACCCGGTATGTTTTACATGTGAGTACCGTATAAGTACCCTTAGATAACCCGGTATGTTGTACATATGAGCACCGAGTGCGGTGTACTAGGTTGTACATGTATATAGGGTACCTGTAGGTTTGCTGGTATGATCTTCTTCTCCATACTTCTCTTCTTCTTCTCCATACTTTTCCTCGTCATCTGCCTCGACAACACATATCTCCTCATCCCTGTCGCCGTCGTGCGGCCCCCCTTCAAGTGGTAGACTCGTACTGTCGGGCGCCCGTTGTGTCGAACTGGCCGCACTGGATTCAATCATTAGCCGTCTAGTAATTAAAACCACTCTATAAATATTCACTTTATAAAATTTATATTTTTTAAAACATACTATGAAACAAATAAAGTACGAATATTTATCAGAGCAAAGACATGTTAGTTCAATGCTCGGAGAAAGTTAAATGACTGTTAATACTTTTAACTCGACTGATATCTATCACATGACAGACTGGTTGGCAGTGTTTCACAGGACTAAGGCAATAAGACAATCGCTGAACAAGTCCACCAAGAAACAATGTTTGTATGGAGTCCAATCTCAAATGATCTTTGTTTTGGGGTTCTCTTTTTCTTTTCTTGTTTTTTTGTTTTCTTTTATGGGAGGGGATATGTATTAGTATTATTTTTATCAATTTGTTCCCTGATATGATTCGTATTATTTCGCACCTCTTTTCGTGCATTTGCATTCTCCTCTATAAAAGACACCCTGAAATAACTGAACCACTGTACAAAGTGGCGTTAAACCCGACTCACTTATACCTATAACGGGAACTGAATAGGTGATCTTAACGTGGGCAGAGCATATGTATCACTATGACCCCGTATGGGGAGGAAATCGGAAACGATGAGAAACACTCGATAATCCGGTCAATGTTAGGAATGTCATTTAATTAAACCGACGTCAAGAAGTAAAGGCAATTCGTTGATCCCGAAAGGTCCATAATCCACACAATCAAAAATAAAAACGCATCGTCTCCAAACTTAACTGTGTTTAATTCTAGATTGTCCGTACCTGGTATTTCAGGTTTGACACCTTCAATATAAGACACAAGTGTAACTAAACTATCGCGAACAGGAAGTATGCGCCAATCTTAGGTCGTAGCTATAAATGAATCTGGAAAGAAATGGAATTTCAATGGTGATGTATTTAACATCATAATCGTGTTTTGGACCTTACGTGTTTGGGCAACTGTTCAACCTATAACGTTTTGATAACGATTTATTTTTTTCATCAAATTCCAATTAACAAGTGTAGGCTTCCTATTTCCCTTGGAGTTTCAATTCAGAGAGGACCCAGATTGAAGCGGTAAACTTTTTAGCATTAATGCATATAGGTCATCACGTTAAAACTAATTTAAACTAAACAGTACGGTCCTTGAGATGTTATGAAATGTCGTGCAAAATGTCGACGCTGACAATGGCCAATCAACGCCATAATAGCCACCGCCTTGGTTCTAGCCATGGCATCCACATTTAATATATAATTCCAATCAATAAATGCTTTACGAATCAAAGGAAGACTTCAATTTTGTTTCTAACGAACCCTTAACACCGATGTTATGTTAAGGATTATTATGATATTTGAAATCACACACTACTGGGAATTTGTACAGACATTCACGAACACTCTTCTGTTCACTGACTCGAAAAGACAGAACTTTTAAATCCCCAAGACCTTTGGTGCAACTTCATCGGAAAGGGTGGGAATTGAGTGTTTCTTTGACAGGACAACAAAGAGAAATTGTTGTTTTAATAACCTAATGGTATATCTCAAAAACGTACTTTGTGATATAAATGCCCCTGAAAATTCAAAAGATATTATTTTAGAGTATAATTACTTTTTCTCTCGTTTCCCTCCACCTGTGTCACGGAATCCTTTAGCAAAAGGGTTGTGGTCGATTTTAAGTTGAGTAATCTACAAAGAAGAAATGCAACCATTTTATATCCTTACAACTTTGAAGGACATTGTGGAAACCTTTATGAAGCTTCATGTTTGTGAGAGCTGCCATGGAATTAGGCAGTAGCTGAAGCGTCACGCTATTGTAAGTTAACCGTATATTTGACAGATGTACATTTCAGATATAACATTAAAAAAATAATTTATTGTATTTTTAAACTGTCACCTTTGTACTTGATGACATGTTTATAAGAATAACACATCATCATGTGCTCTCGTGCGAGACAGCTCTTGGAATTGTTTTGATAAAATGAATGTAAGTTTTATTTATTCAATTACTGTGAATAAAACGAAATACAAACATAATTCATATCGACCATATCGAAGAAGACAGGAATTCTAAACACAATTGTGCTTGTCACAACATATGATAACTATTATTATTTCATAAATTTTATCATTTTTCAATATTTTCTGAGGATTTACCTTTTCGTTTTGATAAGCTGTGACTGCTATAAACTCCGTTTCTTTAAACACGTAGGTTCGAAACGCACTGTATGGGAGTTTCAGAATGTCATCCGTACGCACAAGATGAAAACGAGGCTGATATTTGTGCATCGAATTTAGAATGGTCTGAAAAAATAAGTACAACAGAATTATAACATGAACAACATACAGCACATTTTGTCATTTCAGACATCGTATATATTTGTATAATATTTCCATGAACGTGATAATGCTTTATTTTCCATAGTGATAACACATACGTAATTATGCATGCGGAAAAAACGCTTGTTGTTGAATATACATGAATTTGGATTATATTATAAAATATCCCACTTCTTATCAACAAATTATTGTCATATTTCCCCGAAACACATTTCTAATATGGTAACTGAATTTTCACAACACACGTTTCATAATTTTATTTACAAAATCAATTTGTCAGAACTGACATCTACAGATTTATTAATTTCTGCATAGACAAAATAAATACCAGTATCAAAGGAATGCATTTAATCGTATTATAAACTGTTTCGTAAGAAACTACTTTAATAAAATTAGGACAATAGGTATTGACATCGATGATAAAATGATCGTTTATAATTATCAGAAAACGTATCATTTTCTTTGTCGCTATAAAAGAATAATTCTACAGTTTCAAGCTTCTTCAAAAGAAAATGGTCAAAAACAAATACTTGAAAGTTCATTTCGTTACTTTTCGACGCGTTAGCGATCGAACGATGTTCATGGTATTATTATATGCAAAACTAACAGCTGTGGTTCTAATTGGTATCAAAAATATATAGTTGTTACATATCTGAAGCCTGCTGTTTTCAATTTGATTTATAACATGATTACGAGAATTGAATATTAAAATTCGCATGTAAAAACAAAGAACGTTGCTTTAATCAACATGAACTGTGTCTGACGCATTAATAGACGTAGGTAAGCTTACACGTTGATACGTTCCCGTACATGACAGATTCTGTGTTCAAAGTAACAGATGTATATATATTTCGTGTTCTTCTGTCATACAATTGATCGCCTTTGTTATGAAAGGGACATCAGTTTTGGTTGAATTGATTATAATTATATAAGTGTAAATTCCATAACCGTTATCTTTTCAAACCACTTATATATAATTAAATATAACAAAAGAAGGTGTTCAAAAATACACGTCATAAATATCAATTAAATTCGATATCCTCAATCTCACTATGATCATTATTATTAAACACCATATGTGCACGGACGATAAAGATAAAACAAGTTCCCGGTTAACTGTAGTCATAGATTGCATCACATACAGATACAAGCGACAGATATCCACATCTTTGGTCCATCAATTCTGTGTCATAACGCGCCATCAATCTTAAGGACAATATCCCCGCTTCTCCTTACACGCGAAACTGACCAGTGCGTGCAACCTGACCTCTGTCACATTTCTCGTAATAGTCATCTTAATCGTTTGTCCTCTCGTTAATCTATCGTGTAAATGTCGTTGTCATGTACATTTCAAGGGCGGTCAGCTGTTTCTTGTGTACACAAAGGCAGAAGCTGAAATTGATTGATATGTGTGTGTTTATACATACATGTGCTGCCATCGGTATTTTTAGGAGCTATACTGTGAACTTTAAGGACATTGCAATTGTATCTTCTATTCGTATTATCATAAGCATTGCATGCATAAACTTTCACACAAATGCATGTTCGTAAATTAAGATACTCGGTTAATGCTTCAACTTCTGTTTCAATCAGCTTGTTTTATTTTATTAAATATCGTAGTATTAATCGTGTAGGTGTTTACGAAGGCTGTGGTTATGAATATTGGATAAAGGAATTAATATTGTTCATTGTAAATAGTTAGTGTTTTAAGGAAATTTACAGCAATGGTCTAGCTAGTTCTGATAGTTTACACGTTGTGGAAGTACAAACGACCTCTTGAGAGTTTTAAGTGCCCTAATACATTCGGATTTGATTTTTTCGAAAACCTTTTTGATAAAAATTTGAGAAAAATAATGTTCATACATATATATTTTTATTTCCCTTTACCCACGTTTATGTTCCAGACAAAAATATGTTTATTAGTTGTCGGGAGTTTCGAGTGGGCTTTCAGTGTTATATCCAACACAATCAGCAGACAAGAACAAATAGTCAGTCATGAATTTTATTAAACGAAAGATATCGTTCAAACAGACAACCCCCGCTTAGGCAACGAAATAAACGTATTCACCGTCATTAATATACAAATAGTGACATCAGAGTTGACATATCGACTTTGTCAATTTCATCAGCTGTTAAATGCAGTTGGTCTCTCACAAAGGGATATTTCACGCAAAGGTGGTAAATTTCATGAAACGGGACAAGGGCCCCCTCACACCGTTCTCGAAGTAAATGTGTTCCTTCAGTTGGACCAACAGGTTGATATGTGAACGTATGTCGACATGGAAAACACATCAATTTCGCGGACAGCGACAAGTTAAGAAATAATACCGGTCTGTTACATTATTAGGAGGAGGAATGCATTCCCTATAATGTGGCTAGGGCCCAGGGCAATTAACCCAAACCTTTTACGCAAGGAATGTTTAGAATATGTACACGAAACTTGTTAGTGTCATTGCAGATATCATTTGGATTTATAAGAAAGTGATATCTATTCTAGGATGTTATTTACTTTCTAGGAGGAATTTCTTGTTTACACATATATTAAATGTATACATTCTGCGCGAAGAAAAGAGGCTAAATATCGTATTATCAAAAGATATTCTCTAGCACATTGACCAAATTGGACCTTGAAATGTTTAATGCATGCATAAATATATGACTAATTTATAATTCATACATATCCAGTAATAAACATTAATCATTATTCTTAAACAAAAATATCTGTCCTTATATTTACGAAAATGGGAACTTTTCGAAATATACGCTGACACACGGAATCATTATAAAATCCAATTTAATGTATGTTAATCTCATTGATAAAATTTTAAGCATGTGCCATTCTTACAATAAAATTGTGTTGGTCTGAATCGAAGCAGATTTTCTGTCGATGAATTACAGAAACAAATGAAAAAGCACAACTGAACGAAGTATTCCAGCCGCTCTCTCCTGCATTCCTGGGTTCTGTACACAATGCATTTGCAAAGTAATTCGATGGTAGAAAATGGAAAAATGAAGTTTTAACTAAAAAGTTGAATATACATGTAGTAACCTCGTACAGTCATGTGCTCATGCATTCATAAGCGAAAGATACCAGAATATGTATCATTTGTTTATCATAACCAATTAAACATTGAAAGTTTGTACAATAAAAAAGATTAAATTTCCAGAATTTCATATCATATCATATTCTGATTCTTACGAAAAGAAAAACTAAAAAAATGATCCTCTTTCCTTGAAGAATTAAACTAAACGAATGCTAAATATAGCTCAAGGCGATCCCCATTTTTTTTTCAAAAAAAGAAAATCATTTCCAAATATTTAAAATTCAAATACTGTTTTCCGCCATGTGTTATGTCAGGTTCTGTTTTATTTCCGCACTAAGATAGATCTATAACAGTCAAGGCGGGAGGGAGAATGTGAGGTGTGAGTATCTCCTCCTTTTACCGCAATACAATTACAAAGCCAGGAACCTAATCTATTGGTCGTTTATAAGGGGCTAGAGTGTATACAGCAAGCATAGTACTCATTCGGTAAAGTCAGGCAGTCCATATGCTCAGTTACATTTTCAAATATCACGTTTGCCAGTGAGTATATTTACGAACGAAGCGCATGAGCTTGTTAAATTATCAAATACGTAGACACAATCTTACTGGTTGTAACTTGTTTTCCCGCTCATGAACCCGACCACCCTACAGCTCGTGTATTTCTGTCTGAATTACATCTGTATATATTGCCGCAGCTGAGTGAACCAAGGGGTTATGCCTTGACTTCGTATGATCAGTTACCTAATCTGCATCGTCTTATTGATTGACAGTGCAATAGAGTGCAATGTACATCGCTCACACATGCATATATCCCTGACGTAGCGCAATGTAACGGGGATGATTATAACTGTGGAAACTTGAAACTTTTTAAAATTAACATGATATATAAAAAGGCAATCTGAATGTGAGTCAAGTATTGTCTGGAGACGTACAGTGGGGCAGATGAAACATTTCCGTCATTACAGACAATCTGTGGTATTTCAATGTAGCGTTACAGTTGGAAACGTCGACAACATGAAATGAAGTAAAACGAGTCAGTGTCACAATCTGAATGGCTGGAAACGTCGCGATTTGACTTGGATTCGGTGCCCGGAAGTCTTGTGGGTCCGGGTTCTTTAATACAGCACACGTACTATATTTGGATTTGGTTGGTTGGTTGTTTAACGCCACACTCAGCAACATTCCAGCTATACGGCGTCGGTCTGTAAATAATCCAGTCTGGACCAGACAATTCAGTGATCAACAGAATGAGCATCGTTCTACGCAACTGGGATACGATGACATGTGTCAACCAAGTCAGCGAGCCTGACAACCCGACCCCGTTAGTCGCCTCTTACGACAAGCACGGGTTGCTGAAGATCAATTCTAACCCGGATCTTCACGGTTCTCTGTAATACAGCACACGCAACCTATTTAGAAAACATGGTAGCGGCAGCAGGAATATCGCATCCATTCATCATTAATATTCATTACCTTAAGAATTTTATGAATGCATACTTTGCCATCGTGACGTCATAGCAACCAAGAATGACATGATACGTCTCACATACTTCTAAGTACAGTTTGATTTACAATGTTCAATGGTTCATTACTATCACGTGTTTTAATATTATCATTATATTCTTTCCGTTAATATTAAGTATTAATTTTGTTGCGCAGAAATTTGAACATTTGAAATTTCTCGGCTTCCAGTGTTCTGCAAATATGAAAACATATGAATATACCCTAATTCCAATAGTAACACAAAAGTTGTAGAAATGTACCACTTTTCCCACAAACACAACAAAAGTACATGTATATACACTGTATACATTCTCCAGTGTGTGAGTCTGTGAACGATCACCTTAGTGAGTGAGTGAGTATGGTTTTACACCGATTTTAGCAATATTCCAGCAATATCACGGCGGGAGACACCAGAAA